CATTCGCCAAGATACGGGATAGTTCTAGAAACAAGAGAGAGTGAGAATTGTCACGTGATTTCGATGACGCAACAATATCTATAGTTTTTTATATTTCTAGGTATCCTTTGGTTATATGTAGATATAATGCGCCCCCGGCTCCTACGCCTATGCTATTTCAATCAAAAGTTCCAATTCTGCAATCAAAAGTTAGATATATGCATTCAAGTGAGAGAAATCTACAATCCATTGTTCAGATTCTGCAATCAAATGTTAAAATTCTGCAATCAACTGATAAAACCGGTAGAACGCTGAGCGAGACGATAACTGCTTCGAGGCTTCATGAGGCAGTCGCGCGTGCGCCGTGTCAGCCAATGAAATGACTGGAATAGACGGTGTGAAGCGTTTTGGCATGCGCGTGATCCTACGCCAACCAGTGTTTTAATTGTGTCAAATCGAGTGGCAAGTCGAAATTGTCTGCTTTACTTCAGATTTTGAATCCGATTTTTTTTTCGAATTTACTCAGCCCTTCGTGTAATGGATAAATGGTTAAAGAAGTCAGTTGAAGTTGATGACAATGAGTCTTCAGTGAATCAAAACGAAGAAAAGTTAGGTCAATCAAAACGAAGAAAAGTGGTGAGAAAGTATGATTCCAAGTACTTAGAAATGGGATTTACATAGAATGGAGATGAAGAAGATCCACGATCACGATGTATTATTTGTTGTGATCAACTTGCAAACGAGAGCATGTGACCAAACAAATTGCGTCGCCATATTGAGACGAAGCATCCCGAATTGAAAGACAAACCCCTCGAATTTTTTGAAAGAATGCTAAGCAAGTTGAAGACAGGACAGAGCGTTATGCAACGTTACACCAAAGTTAATGAAAAATCTTTGTACGTGTCCTACCTGATCAGTTTGAGAATGGCGAAAGCTGGTAAGCCACATACAACTGGAGAAACTTTAGTTCTTCCAGCTATAAAAGATACAGTTAAAGTTTTCTTTGGTGATAAGAGTGAACAAGAAATTGAAACAATTCCTATTTCTAATAACACGGTTACGCGTAGGATCGATGAAATGTCTTGATGGATAGAAAATCAGCTAATTCAAAGAGTTCGTGAAAGTACAATTTTCTCCTTACAACTAGATGAATCTACTGACGTACAAGGTCTGTGCCAGCTACTTGTTTTTGTGCGTCATATATGCAGGGGCGGATTGGGATGGCTAAGCGGCCCGGGACTGGGATC